GAGCAATTGTACTGTGCATCACTTGCTTTGTGTATTATTATTATTATCATCATATTATTATTATCATTTTATTTCAATTATTAAACTGTTTTTATCTCAACCCACAAGTTTTTCTCACTTGTGCTCTTTTCTAATTCTCCCCCATCCCACTGAGTGGGGGGAAGTGAGCGAGCGGCTGCGTGGTGCTCAGTTGCCAACTGAAGTTAAACCACGAAAACACATTACCCTTTCAGATACAGTAGAGTAACTTTTGTCTACATGATTGAAACCCATCAGTTCCCACTATCATATTTATTGCCTACAGTGCTTACATGAACATGTAGAGTAAGCACCTATGTGAAACTGAAATAAGCGGTCTGATTCCCAAGAATCATATCCATTGGGGACTTTTTTGTAAATCTGACCAACTACTTCGGTTCCCAATAGCTTTATAGTCATTGGCTCCTAATAGTCAGGTATTGATTCTAACAACAATATTACAGTCAATGTCACAATCAAATATAAAGAAAACACAATTAGGGAAAACAAGTAATATATGTATCAGCAGAAGCTTGACTAAAAGTATAATATACAACATGACCATATCTGGATGGACCTGACAACTGCAGATGTTACATTTCAGGTCAAAGGTGAATTTACTGTGCACATATCTAACATATTAATTGGAAGGTTTTACTGATAGTATGTGATGGTAAACTGATAAGGAAATAATAATTTGCCAAAATTTTCTGCCCTTCCAATAAATGATAACAAACCTTTTTTTTCTGAGGGTAATGCATATATGGGGGTAACATGGCACTTTTTTCCTTTGGGTTTTTTTTTTTTTGACCATGTATACTTGCCCTATTTCTCTACTCTCACACCATTTTTTCCTTTGGTAGCATTGTTTGCTTACTTCTTTTCACTCTATACTGCCCATCATTCCCATCTCATCCCCTTCCTTCTTTCTCTTTTGCTTTTCACCTTATTTCCTCCTTTTCTCAGTGAAAAGAAGAAAGCAAGAAACTTCCCTTCCTCCCTCTTTCCACTCTTTTCAACTTCTATCTTAATTCTGTTTCCATTTTCCTGTTCAGTTCTGTGATTCCCTTTTCTTTCCTTATAATTTTCACTTTGATTCTTCATTTGCATCCTCCTCCATTCTTATTCCTCACTCTGAAGAGTAATAACCTCCTGTCTAAGCCAACTGTAAAACAAAGGCAGAAACTCTGTTCAACCAATGCATGTGAATGATGAGAAAACTCTGTATTTTCCCCTCTCTCATTTCTGCAGTAGAAACTGCTGTGATTGGAAAGACGATTTAGGACAGAGTAGCCAAACCCTTTAAACTGAGACTGGGTTTGGTTTAGAGACACACTGTCATTTGTCCATGGAATACTTCAGAAAGTATTTTAGCACCTTTATCAATATCTGTATTGCAGAAAATACTAAAATCAAATAAACTAAAACCTGGGTTTGCTGCTTTTTTTTTCCCAGGTAGTGCTGTTGCTGATGGATTGCATGACGTAAGGGCAAGAGTGGCTTCTGCTTCTTCTTCTTCTTGCTTTTGAATTCCTTTTTTTTCTTCTACCTTTTTTGTAAAGTATTCACTGAGGGAAAAGGCATAAAGATTAGTGGCTCAAAATACTGTTAGACACGTGACAAGTAGACACAGGATACAGGCTGAAGAACATGCTAAGAGATGGATTAAGGACATCTATTTGAGCTTCTGCCATAGATTCATTGTGTGAAGCTGGAGAAGTCAATAAATTACATTATTTTTTGGTAGTCATCTGCAGTGTTGATTAAACAAAAAGAACCACAAGCAAGTATTATAAACCTTAACACACGCTTTTCAAATCACACTGGTTTGAAAGTCAGCTCTGTGCAAACAATCTTAGCATGAAGGATGTATTTGCTTTGCATGGGTAGTAACAGATCCTGTCATAACTTCATGACATACAACCACTTGGCCTAGGTTGCTAATCCAAGGTTAGTTGCACACTGGTTATCTAAGTGGCTGCAAGCTCAGAAGTGGCTGAATTTCAATTACATGCATGAAGTGGAAACTGCATACATGGGTCACAGTCACCCAATTCAGGCAAACTGAGTATGTAAGATAGATAAAGTCATGTAAATCAAGCATTAAAATCTTATTTAGATTCACTTCAGTTGGAAGAATTTCTTTCCAGCTGAGTCCTTATTCCCCTCATCAAGGTTTCCCCAAAGCTAATCCACGTGGAAGGCAATTAGGTCTGTTCGCTACACTCTGTGTTAGGTGTGGCAGCCCAACGCTATGCCTACAGCAAATTGTCATTCCCTCAGTGATGTAGCTGAAAGAAACACTTCCAACACATTTTTATTGTACCGCTTTGCCTGGAGGCTCCAACAGTCTCATCATTTCCTTCTGAATATCCAGAACTCTTTCTATGCCCTGAAATTAAACAACAGTAATCTTCAAAAGAAAGATAAATTATTTCATTTTAGCAGCTTAAATCAGAAGAGAACACTTATTCTAAATGCACATCTTAATATTACATCTTTTTTAAAAAAAACTATTATAGACTTCCTTAACACAATCCCCCCACCCACAAAATGCAGTCAAGTGTCCAATGATAAAGGGTTTGTAGCAGTGGAATGAACAGGAATATTTGATTATGCTGTTGAATGGGATGGCAAGAAAAATAGCCTCTTCTTCCCCAAAAGGAACCCTTCCTAAATCTAACAAGTAAGCAATATCTGGGTCTGCGCAATATCCGAGAAGTGGGAAGATTATAATCACTGTTCACAATTGTGGCTCTATCTAAGACTTCCTAACTCGAAAGCCGGACAAAATTAAATGTATTTACCTTTAGAACATTTCCAGGAAGCCGAGAAAAAATCACTGTCTTAATTTTAAACATTAGGGAATGGAGGAACACTCCAATTAAATGAATCAATTGCTTTTACGCAAGACTCTTTTCCTTTTCAGCTGAGTTAGTAGAAGTTTAGTGCCAAGTTCGTAAATCACATTTCAGATTTTCTTAAACTGTGCCAGTAAAGGAATACTGAAGGGGGCAGAAGTCAGTCACAGCTTGCAACACATCAACACAGGACGAATGGCTACATTTTTTGCACTGCAGCAAACAGTTTGCTGCTCTCCCATGAGCACTAAGAGGCATTATGTCTTTGAAAGGTACAGAATTAGCAACCTTATTAAGAGCTCTTGGTGCCAGTTCTAAAAAGTTAAAGGAAAAGGAAAAAGAAAGATAATCGAGCTCAGCTATTTGTCCAGGTCAGCAGCATACAAAGTAGAAATCACAGCCCTAATGTAGGCATCTTGTGCAGATATCTTTAACGCAACACATGGCTAAACAAAAAGAGAGGGTTGATCCAGCCTGTCTCATCCATCCTTCTTGCCCCTTGAATAGATTTTGTTCTACTTTGTCTTCTATTCCCTTCTATCTTCACAATTTCATTTTTAAAGCAATTTATTCCCGAAGATTTTATGCTTTCCTGTGAATTCATTATGAGTTTTGTTGTTTTGTATGCTCTATCAATCAACTGATACTATTTATAATCTACTAATGTAAAATCACATTCTAAACAAAATGAAAATATCTTATTGTGGTGTAACACGATTCCCCTACATCTTCTTCAATGAACTGATTTTTTCCTCTACACTAACGTATGCATTTTAAACTTGAAATCTTCATGTATCTTCTTTTAAATCTTCATCTATTTACTTCTTTTAATGTTCCTGGTGTTAGAATTCTGCACTAACATTTGTTAAAACTTTGGCCTTGCAAGTAAACAAAACATGAAAAATAGTTTGTAAGGACTATATTGAAAAGATCTATATACTTATGTACATATATAGTTTATATAAAGTCTATAGAATATATTTATAAAAATTGAAATGAAACAGTACCTGTTTGAGTGATAACTGAACTGGTGGTATAAGCATAACTTCTTTCACTAATTTCAGTTTTGAAGGTGAAATTTTTTCACAGTTCAACAGAGTAACCATTGGGAGTGGCAGAGTAATTTCTTTAGGTGAATCCTGTAATTGGGAGTACCACGTGAAAATAAAAATGTTAAAAATCAGAATGATTTCTTATATATTTTACTTATGGCACAGGGTTCAAAGACTGCTACAGACAATCGTCTTAAGGGTGTATTCTACACGGTATATTTAATACCACGGTCACGAGGGACTATTGGCTTCAGAATTCTAGAATAATTGTGATAACTGGGATAAAATAAACAAAATGACAAAAGTCAGATGTACCTGATTACATTTCAGCAGTGCAATATGTAAGTACAATGGGATACGGCTAATGGTGGCACCAGCCTTAGCTATAGCAAGTGATGCTCCCCCAATGGCTAAGCTGCCACAAAGCACTGATTCAACAGGTTCTGCAGGTGGGATTGTTCTCTCTGCAACTGCCACCTTCTTCCCTACAAGACAGAAAGTAGTATCTAAATATTTTCTTGGTTTAAAATGTGTGCTTATGTATCACAGTTATACGAGTAAATATGATACTGACATTTCAGTATGTAGGCAATGTATTACAAAAGAATCAGTTCTTTATTTTAAACTTAAATCTTGCCATTTTTTCTGTATGAAATGACCTTACAAGTAAGCAAAGTGTCTGTCTTCACTCTGGTGCCAAATGCATTTCAAATCCATTTCTTTTAGCCATCTTTCAGCCACTGAAATCTGTATTTTTATTTATCTGTGGTTGTATCCAGTAACGTCATTTTTCAGGTTCCTTGCATAAGCATGATTTCAATATTCTTTTTTGTCCTCCTTATATGCTCAGGTTTTGCATAAACAACTTAGAAGATTACATTATAAGCTGATTGGGAGTATGCACACTTGATTTCTTCTAATAATGAGTGTGAAAAAAATGTAGGCCTATTACAGTTGGATTTTCCAATGAGAAAACAGGTCTTTTAAATATTCCATATGTATAATCTTGTTAAATTCTCAAAAGAACTTATGTCCTGGTTTCGGCAGGGATAGAGTTAATTTCCTTCCTAGTAGCTGGTACAGTGCTGTGTTTTGGATTTAGGATGAGAACAAAGTTGATAAGGCGC